CGTGTATCAGCAACAGTGTGGCCAGCAGGAGCAGGGAAGTGATTGTGCTCCTATATTCAGTACTAGTGAGGCCACACCTTGAGTGCTGTGTTCAGTTTTGGGCCCCTCACTACAAAGAAGGACACTGAGGTGCTCCAGTGTGTCCAGAGAAGGGCAACGAAGTTGGTGAGGGGTCTGGAGAACAAATCTTATGAGGAGCGGCTGAGGGAACCGGGGTTGTTCAGCCTGGAGAACAGAAGGCTGAGGGGAGACCTTATCGCTCTCTACAACTACCTGAAAGGGGGTGGTGGTGAGGTGGGTGTTGGTCTCTTCTCCCAGGTAACTAGCAAAAGAAGGAGAGGAAATGGCCTCAAGTTGTGCCAGGGCGATTTAGAGTAGATACTAGGAAATTTTTCTGTAATGAGAGGCTGATCAAACACTGCAACAGGCTGCCCAGTGTGGTGGTGGAGTCACCATCACTGGAGGTGTTCAAAAAATGTGCAGACATAGCACATTGGGACATGGTTTAGTGGACATGGTGGTGTTGGGTTGATGGTTGGACTTGATGATCTTAAACGTCTTTTCCCAACTTGATGATTCTGTGATTTTGTGATATCATATAAACCAATTTTATCCTCAGAGTTAAAGAAGAAAAGGGTAGGTTTTAAATTTAATATTTTTTTTTACCTATTCCCTGAAAATGTTAGTTCTGTATTTGCTCTACATTTTTTTTTTTTAACTTTTAGGTTCTTTGTTTTTAAACTTTGGTCTTTACCTAATTATAGTCCTTTCCTTTAATCATGACTAGGTTCTTTTTCTATCAGTACACGCTACTGATTCACCCAGTTACTCACTTTCTGTTTGTTTGTTTGTTTGTTTGTTTGATTCCTCTAACAATTATGCTTGCCACACCATTATTGCAATTGTTCCTGATCCTTAGTGTAGAGAAATGAAAAACAATAAACTCTGCATTTAGCAGCAAAAGTCCTTGCCAAAGACTGGTCAAGGTTTTCCTTCTTGCTGCTGAGCTACATGCACAAAGAGAAGAGCCCAACACAGAATTTCAAGGACAGGCATTTTCATTTAGTTCCCTTCAGGGTCAGAGGACTTCAACATTGACTGTTGCAGGATGAATAAAAGCAAGAAAGTGGTTTTTGTTTTAATTTGAAATTACTCGATCTGAGCAATAATAAACCCTGAAATACCTTTAAAGATGTGCATGGAAATCTGGTAAGTAGAAAACTAGTTTCCCAATTAACAGTTTATGGTTTTTAATACAATATGAAGTGGTTTGTGAAAGTCATTACATAAATGAAACCTGCCACTTAAATATTGTTTGCAACTTTTCCTCTGTATATTTTTCTATCTATAGAAACTGTAGTGCCTTGGGTAGGCTTACAGTATTTTCTAATCTCAGTAAGATGATAGGTTCATTCACATGCATTGAAATTCATTGTACATGGGGTAAAGATACACATGAAAAGGCTCAGAAAAAAGAGATTAAATTTAAAATAACCCAGTGTTCTGTTTTTTTTTCAAGTGGATATATATTAAGCCATGGTTTCTGAAGATGCAATAAACAGTTTAAAATAAGAAAATATTTCCATTTGGCAAATACGTATTTGAGTATTCAAGTCCAAATTACTCTTTGCCAAAACCAAAGGCCTTTTAAGTTAAATTCAACCCACCACGTGATGTATACCTTCAAAGATGCTACTGCCCAGGCTCGGTCCTGTTCTATCCAAGCGGGAAGCTGGTCACGAACACTTCTTTGTGAATCCTTATTGAAGCAAGTTACGTTACACACATAAGTTACACAAATTTTTGTAAAACACTATATTCAGTAATAAGATTGCAAACCCCATGTTTTTACTAAAAATATTATTCACAACAGGAATCTTTCTGCAGTCTTTTGCTAAGTTCATAAATGGCATAACAAAGCAAAAACTACCAATGACTAAAGTTTGAGATATACTGTTCACATTAACATTGGCTTAACAACTTGAGCCTAAAAGTATTTTATCATTTCGAGTATCTGTATGACACACTTAACTCTAAGTAGTTTTCTCTTCCATTAAAAAAAAATGGCCCAAATGATTGTCTATCTGCATAGGCACTCTAACCAACCGACTTCAAAAAATAACTCCACTGCACATTTTCACAGTCATGAAGAAGATGTGTCTTCACACAAAGGGCAATTCTGGGGTAATTCACTAGACAAAGCATCACATCTGGACATCTCTGCACTGATAAAGTCTAACCAGAGCTCTATTTTTCTGCTCCGTAGATGCTGGGGATGTAGGAAATTCTAAGGGTGAACAACATAGCTTAAGCTCCAGTGGAATCTCTGTATTCACTACACAAAGTGAATGTAATGGCACCATTAACTTGTGTGACAGTCTCTGTATGGAAATTTAGTTGGATCTTTCAACCACTGAGCAACTTCAAAAATAATCTTAAATGTTCAGCAGAAAAAAAGGAAAGCTTTCTTGTGAAAGGATGTCTCAGTTATAAGAGCCTGAAAAAGAACAGCAGTAGGAAACTCAGAAGCAATTAGGAATAAACTTGAGATGGGTCTGCAATATACATTCCAGTTAGAATTGCAGATGAATCATGTACGTCCACAATCTTTCCAAAATCTATGGGTTGTGTGTTAGGTGAGGTAGAGGTAGGACTGGTGTTAAATTCCATTATATAATCAGATCTCACAGAGCTTGAAAATGACATACAGAATGAAAATACTTGACAATCACCAACTGCACTGACGTTTAATTGAGATGAAGAGAGACTTCTATATTCATACTGAAATGCAAAACCTGTAAAGTCATGTAAGGTCTAGAGAAATTGGGAATTTAAGGATCTTTTTAGCAAGCAGCTAACTAAGTAGGAAAGCCTGAGTAATATATTGTGTTTTAAGTGACTTGCCACTTCTGCCAGCATGCATGTGAACAAAGTTGGTGTCATAGATATAGCAGGGTCTGTAGCGATAGGACAAAGGGTAATGGTTTTAAACTAAAAGAGAGTAGGTTTAGACTAGATAGAAGGAAGAAATTTTTGACAATGTGGGTGGTGAAACACTGGCACATGTTGCCCAGAGAGGTGGTAGACGCCCCAATGCTGGAAACATTTCAGGTCAGGCTAGACAGGCCTCTGAGCAACCTGCTCTAGTTGAAGATGTCCCTGCTCATTGCAGGCAGGTTGGACTAGAAGAGCTTTAAAGGTCTCTTCCAACCCAAACTATTCTGTGATTGTATATTCTAAAAACAAGGTATTCACACTTGTCATTGTCTTGTACCACTAGATGTACGAGATAACCTTTAGCCTTGTTTAGATATCTATCAGGGTAAAAGTAATTGTGAATGGTGAAAACTTTAGCTAAGCCCAATGGAAATGAGCTAGCCTGATCCTGAATGAAGGAAAAGAAGAGCAAAATGATCAGCAGTGCTGATCATTTGCTGATCCTGATCAGCAAAAGAAGAGGAATTCAGAAACACTGATTTTAGTTACAGAAGAGGACTTGAAACCTTCTCAAACACACCACTGAAACAAAAAATTGTAAAGCTGGTAATAGAAAAATTAAAAAAAAAGCAAAAAAGGCAAAAAGTTATGCAAATTAGAAAATTAGTTGCCATGTTCAAAAAGTTCAAACTTTTTTTATATTTTTATATTACTATGTGATAAGATATTTGTTCCCTTAATGTATGAATACAACTTTAACTTTTCAGGATTTAAGTAAATGTTCCTTATTTCAAAATACACAAATAAATGTAGCTTACTGGTTTTCTTATAGTATCTCCAATGATCACACCTGTAAAAGTCTCCCATTCCTAGAGAGAGTAAATGAACAACTTGGATAAGTCAGAAGAAATCTTTAAGAATAAAGATTAATATGTAGTAGCACGTAGGCAAAACAGGAAGATAATAAAATTAAAGCTTAGATTCTGAAAGAGTTATAAGACATTTTTAAAACTCTAGGTAATCCTAGCAGTATGTAATACCTTTTGCAGAATCCAAGCTAAGTGACTGCAGTGCTTTATAAGAAAAAGAACCAAAAGGAGAAGTCTTATCCTTTCTCAGCACCCACAGCAACCACCCAGATTGCCTGACTACAGACTAGCAAGAAGTAAAATACGTGGCTGGCAAGGATACACATTCAGCCTGACAGGGCGTCAGCAGCCCACATGCAACAGTTAACTACAGAATCCATGTTTAAATAGCGTTTCATGTTATAGTATCCAAAAGATGCAGTTATTTGAACAGGAGGAATACTTAATATAACAGATTCGTATTAGGAACACTTTGGTTGCATTATGAGAGGGAAATTTAAGTTGAATTTACGTATGATTAAATCTTTTAGACTCAGTATTTGGATCCAAGAAGACAGCTTTTAATAATTTTAAAACAGATTAGGTAAGTACTTAAAAACATACTAGAAATGACATAATCCTATATTTGGAGGTGGTAAGAAATATATTAAAAAATCTTCATAAGTATTGAAATTTTATAAAATCAGTATCTATAATTCTATGATAAAGAACTAATTTTTTTAAAAGACAATAGTAACAGTCCAAATGAAAAAGTCAATCAACTAGTTCCACTTCGATACAGACCACAGCACATCTTTTTGCATCTGTCAATCTAGTTGAGTCTTGAAACAACTCTCTCTTTCAATTACAAACTGATGCTCCTCTCTCAGTTACAAAGAAAATGCTCGTGCACAGAAAAATACATGAAGGCTCCACAGTTTTAAAACCAGAAATTGTGTAATATTTTTGTGAAGAAAAGCAGAAGTATAATATGTAGGGACATGTAAAACCACCTCAGAAAAATCTAAACGTATGGATTCAGAAAGAGAATGTCTCTACTAAGAGCCAAGGTGTTCTGTAGTATAATGTTGAAGTTGTACTATAAATTTCTCATCAGTATGCAAAAAATTCATAAGTGCAGAAGGTTGAACTCTTTTGGGACAGTTCTAGAAGCATAATATGCATCTTCTAGCCTCATCACATTAAAAGCTTTAAAAGAAATAACTTTAAAAGAATAACCACTTCAGCTTCATTTTCCTCAATAAATATTTTGCACAAGCATTCTTTTCTTAACAATTTAATTAAAATAACTTCTACTTAAGAAAGAAAAATTATTGAGAAAGAAAATTATTGGTATTATTTGCCTGTTTTAATTCTTGAGATACTGCAGGAATGTGCATTATATGTAATCTAGATTAACCTCGTTAAGAGCTCTAATAGCTGACAGAAATGCACGCTAAACAATAGCAACCAACCCATAAAGCAGTAATTACAAATACTTAAGAAGCCTAGGCAGCTAGTCTTTCATTTAGTAAGAAGACTATTTGCAGGTTGCTGCCTTCATGACTTTATAAACTCAGGGACTAGAAAGATAAAGCAAGATATTTTCAGAAGCTAAAAAGAAATAATAAAGATGAATTAGAGAAGTTCTAACAACGAAGAGTAGCCAGGGTATGCCTCTACCAACAAGATTAATTTGAGTTATTTTTATCAGGCAGCTTCATTGCTGAAAGACTGTGAGCTTTCACCTGGTCAGTCTATATGTCTGCAATAAAATTACATTGCATTCATAAGATCAAAAAGTTTCAACTAACCTTTCTTGAACCTTGTACCTTAAACCCACATCCTTCATATAATCATGTTCCGCTACTTCCTTCAAATGTATTATCTGATTTTTACCTTTGACCCTGTAATGGACTCTCCTCTCGTGAATTGCCATCTACTACCATTTAATACTCCTGGTCTCCAGTTTCTAGTACAGAAAGCCATAGCTCTGTCTCTCCATTCCATGTAGGTATTTTAGATAATTAAATGTGTCTTGACTCATGTTAATCAGCCATGTTTAAGCAATTGTATTGAGTCAATTGTGCATATTGTCCTACCGCAGGCAGACTTTACGGGACTAATTTCACTACACTATAGACCACTATAACTTTGGCATGTACATCTCAGCCAGCAAAGTAGTAAGCAATTTTAGCAGTAAAACATCTGACCTCCTTTATAAAATTCATTTCTGATGAAACTAATTGCTTCTTTAACAGGTCTGTTTTTTACTGGTTTCCTATACAGACAGTCTACGATAACATGCTCAGGTAAATTTTAACAGGTGTTTAAATTTTAGTTACCAATTCAATCACCACTAAAAGTACTCATTTTACCAGAAACATGTACATGCACTACGAACCTCCGCATTGGGCAAAAACGTTCCCTAATACCCAAAGTGAGGAACATGCTGTTACTGAGGTGTGTGCTGCCCTACAGAAATAAGGGTTAGCAGTACTTAAGCTCTGCTGCAATTTTGTCGGGAATAGGGTAGCCTCTCAGAAATCACGCGTTTTCAGATTAGGCCTCATTCAGACCACTGTCAAAAATGTCACGTGACACCTCTCAGTTTTTTTGTGAATATGCTAATAATGCAGAACTTGCCTGAAAACTGAATGGACAGCCATTTTTATTAAATGTGGTTTGAACCTGTATCAACCACATCCCACTATGCTATCAAAAACATAAACAGTTCCAGAATGAAATCATCCTGGTGTCCATAGCTGGTGACCATCACTATGGTGCAAAGAATCCCATACTTATGCAGCCAGAGAACAACATACAAGAAGGACATTCTCTGTACAGTGGGCTCTTAAAGACATTGTTGCAAATGAGGACGTTAATAATCGCTGGTCCAGGGATTTCTTAGACACTGAAGAATCAATGTCTGAAATGCACAAAAGATAACTTCATTACTTTACCTTCCAGGAATACTCTTCACTTTAAGTGTCTTCAATTGCAGGTTGCAGAATCAGACTTCTATCAGACTATCTAATCTAAATCTAATCAGACTTAATTTCTCCCTAGGTCTTGCACGCCTTTTCTGCACTTCAATGCCAAGGCACAATGCACAAGCAACCCTTGGTCACAATGACAAGTGTGCATCCATCACTTTACTTATAAAGGAATATCCGTATTTAACTGGAAGGATGGATAAATGACTAGCCACATGGTGGCAGGAAACATTGATACAGTGCCTGCAAAAAAGTGCAAGAACCCTTCATAAGCGTATTTTTCAGACGTCTATTTAAAAGACAACTGTTTACCTACCTTTCTCATAGCAATCTTCACTTTGAACCTAATAAATATAATGTTGACATCCAAAAGTAACTATCACAGAAAGACAGTAGCATATACATTTAAAATCCCAAGTCCTATATTTACTGACAAGAACTTTTTATCTACTTATTTACTCTTCATATTAAGTTTAAGTAAATCACTTGGGTGTTTTCTCCTCTAGTACTTACATTCTCTTGAAAAAGTTCAGGGTGCATTCCTCGTACAAAATGTAGAGCAAACATTAGCTGATCAGCCTGAAATAAGAGCAGTAAAAATATATGTTCATCAAAAGTCACCTTTCTGCTTTTTTTACAAGTAACAAAATTTCATTAATAAAACACCTCTAATTCCATAGTAGTAACTTAATGACACATATCCTAATTCAAAATTGATACACACCCCTGCAACTTAGAGACAAACACTAACCCAAACCCTGTATCTAAGTTCTTCTTCACTTGAATTTAGATGTAAAAACAGGTACTTGTAATAAAGGAAACATACTAAACAGAATCCATTATTTTTTAAACTCTGCATAGGAAATGCTTGAAATCTTCTTATAGGAAATTTTTGAAACAGAGTTTTGGAAAAAAAAAACCAACTATAACCTCCTGACTTTTTCCTAGGTCTGTTGCATCACTTGAATTTCAACCAGTCTCTAAGCACTGGAGCAATAAACCAGGAATAAAGATTTACTGGAGCCACAGAATAAAACCATGCAAACATTCAAGACACTTTTTTTTTTTAAATATTGGATTGTCAAAACGGTGATTCCTGCATCTATACACAGAAACTTTCATAGGTTATGAAAGCTGTGCTGGAAAGCACAGATTACTATGTAATGAAGTCAAAGCAAAAAAATGGAAGTTGGTACCCTGGAAAACCAGGACCACTCAGAAGCCTAGATTTAGCCCTCCAATTTTCAAAGTCTGTCTGTAATGCGGAAGATGTATTTTAGCAGACAATAGAAGATATACACATATTTTCTCTCATTAAAATTTTAAGTAAGCATAAATCAAGTGGTACCTCTTCTTTTCCTTTCATGGAAGTGAAACATAAAAGCATAAAACACAGGTCAAAGGAAAGGACAGAAGAAAAAACAATGATGCATGTGATTGGGTTAAGTCTGCACAGCATAGGCATCTCAGCCAGCTGATGAACACAACACGCCCCCACTCCTATAGAAACCTATTCTATTCTTGACAATGAAATTTCCATGGTGTGGCTTCATACATACTTTATGTGTACCTCAAAGTGACAGCCTGGTTGTCCTTAGCTTCAGAGAATTACCACTCTGAAGAATATTAAATTACCAAGCATACTACTGAAAAATTAATTGCATGGGACTTTTCCAAAGAGACAGGACCAAATATGAGGAAGTATACTCCAGGAAATAGTATGTACATGTTATAAGGTATAAGATGAACTGTTTGACTAATACTGGCTTTCTCATCTCAATGTCTGTTATATTTTTGAGGCCAAAATTACATGAGCACACCAAATTCTTTTTGTTTTATTATTACTGTTTTCTAAAGCAAATGTGTTTTTACAAGGCTGATATGTCAGCTTAGAAAGAGACAAATACAGAATCATACAATCACAGAATAGTTTGGATTGGAAGGGACCTTTAAAGCTCATCTAGTCCAATCCGCCTGCCATGAGCAGGGACATCTTCAACTAGACCAGGTTGCTCAGAGACCTGTCCAACCTGACCTGGAATGTTTCCAGCGATGCGGCATCTACCACCTCTCTGGGCAACCTGTGCCACTGCTTCACCACCGCCATTGTCAAAAATTTCTTCCTTAGATCTAGTCTGAATCTACCTTCTTTTAGTTTAAAACCATTACCCCTTGTCCTATCGCTACAGGCCCTGCTAAAAAGTCTGTCCTCATCTTTCTTATAGGCCCCCTTTAAATACTGGAAAGCTGCAATAAGGTCTCCCTGGAGCCCTCTCTTCTCCAGGCTAAACAACCTCAACTCTCTCAGCCTGTCCTCACAGGAGACGTGTGCTCCACCCATCTGATCATTTTGGTGGCCCTCCTCTGGACCATCTCCAACAGGTCCATGACTTTCCTGTGCTGCGGGCTCCAGAGCTGGATGCAGTACTCCAGGTGGGGTCTCACAAGAGCAAAGAAGAGGGGCAGAATCACCTCCCTCCACCTGCTGGATGCACTTCTTTTGATGTAGCCCCGGATGCGGTTGGCTTTCTGGGCTGCAAGCGTGCATTGCCGGCTCCTGTCCAGCTTTTCATCCACCAGTACCCCTAAGTCTTTCTCGGCAGGGCTGCTCTCAATCCATTCATCCCCCAGCTGGCACTGATACCAGCAGTTGCCCCGGCCCAGGTGCAGGACCTTGCACTTGGCCTTGTTGAACCTCATGAGGTTCACATAGGCCCACTCCTTGAGCTTGTCCAGGTCCCTTTGGATGGCAGGCTGTCCCTCAGGTGTGTCAACTGCACCATTCAGCTTGGTGTCATCTGCAAACTTGCTGAGGGTACACTCAATCACAGTGTCTATGTCATTGGTGAAGAGTATTAAAGAGTATTGTTCCCAGTACGGATCACTGAAGGACACCACTCACCACCGATTTCTATCTGGACATTGAGCCATTGACCACTACCCTCTGGATAGCACCATCCAACTAGTTCCTCATCCATCCAACAGTCCACCCATCAAATCCATATATCTCCAATTTAGACAGAAGGATGTTGTGGGGGACCGTGTCAAAGGCCTTACAGAAGTCCAGATAGAATAGACGACATCTGTAGCCCTTCCCTTGTCCACTGGTGTGGTCGCTCCATACTAGAAGGCCACTAGGTTGGTCAGGGAGGATTTGCCCTTGGTGAAGCCATGCTGGCTGTCTTCAATCACCTCCATGTCCTCCATGTGCCTTAGCATAGCTTCTAGGAGGTTCTTTTCCATGATCTTCCCATATAAGAACAACATAGAATAAAAACATGGAGTAAGGATTTTCAAGGTGTTAATGATCTCTGGGAAGTTTCCTCATATGCAGTAAAAGTAACTTCAACTGCATCTGCACCTGTATTTCCAATAATACATATTTATTATTTAATAATTTATCTGGTGATTAGGTTCCAGAATTATGGTTGACTGACTAAGGGGACATGTATGTTGTAAAGACCATAACCTTACTAGTCTTAATTGCCCTTGGAATGACTGACCTACCAAGAGGCTATATATAACTCAATTCATATGAGCCACAGCTGATTTAAACTGGATTTAGGCAACTGCAGAAATGCATGATGGCAGCCACAAAAAACTCTTGGCATAATATATATCTCTACAGATACCAATACATAAAGTTGTTGTTTGCTGCTTTAAGTAGTTCTGTTTTATTAATTCTCTCAGTTGCAAAACCATACAGTACAAAGTATCCCCAAAGATACAATTAAAGCAAAGAAAGGACATTGTATTTTATTTTTGCATTTATGTACTATTGGTTTTGTTACAGGGGTAGGACTGGAGAGCAAACAGGCCCCAACTAGGAATCAAGGTCAAACTTAGCAAAGCACTAAAGTTCTCTTTGTATTCATAAATAAAATACATCCATGAACATCGTATGACACTGCGAACAACTGCCATAATGGCTGAAGTCCACACCATTCAGCTCTCATCCTCTCAGACAGGGTTTGCAAGCAAATACAAATCCAAACTGCTTATTAGAATGCTCCCTGGATGATTTAGTGTCCAACACTTGAATGGGAACAGTTTGGAAGAATGCTAACTGGACCAGGACAAACCTATGACAGCAACAATTTTGACAAATTAACAGTACAGGTAGGCCAGTTCCACTGCTCAGGAAAATTTCTTGGCACCACTTCACTTATGACCATACAGGAAGTCTATGTACACAATAACATAAATATTAACCACAGACAGACGAACAAAACCATCCTTTCCAATTCTAACATGCTTAAGAAGGTATAAACTTGTATCAGCTATATCATGTATGAAGGCACTAGTAAAGCCTCAGTGTCACAGCAGTCTAAAAATTTGCAAGGATAACAGGCAGAATTAGCAGTGGATTGCTGATGGTGTGAGGAGCTTATTTGTTCTTTCTACTATCAGAATATGATATTAAATGGGATGGACCATTAGTCTGAAGCTGCACGGTAACACTTACCCTTTCAGTATTTTCTAAACTCCAATCAGATCAGTGAAAATCTTTCTTACTAGAAATCTCTCTCTGCCTTGCTTTAAGGGGAGGTTTAGATTGGATATTAGGAAAAATTTCATCACCGAGAGAATGGTCAAGCATGGAACAGGCTGCCCAGGGAGGTGGTGGAGTCACCATCTCTAGAAGTATTCAAAAAATGTGTGGATGTGGCGCTTCGGGACATGGTTTAGTGGGCATGGTGGTGTTGAGTTAACGGTTGGACTTGATGATCTCGAAGGTCCTTTTCAACCTTAATGATTCTGTGATTCTGTGAAATCTTTAATCTTTTCTGATATATAAAAAAGCTGTCTTCCAATATTCAAAAGATGTAATGACTCATTGGATAGCTTCACATACACATGACTTCAAACACAGACAGTAAATTATGAGAATATTTCATGAGAATCCATTTGGACTGATAAGACAAAATCCTTAGAAATAACTGCAACCTCAGTTTAGTGTTGCTACATTAAGGGGAAAGGGGAGGAGCTGTTGTGAAATTTTCCAAGATCTCATCATTCTCACTGGATCAAACTCCAGACTTGCACGATTTGTACTACTGTTCAAACCACCTATGCAGATCTACTATGCATTCTTCTGCATCGCACTATCAGACAAACACCTCCTGTAATTGACTGTTCCATGTGAAAGTAAAAATTAAATTGAAAGTGAAAGGCATATCTATCCTAGGTTTTCACCAACAAAGCAAAAAGAGAAAAGCCACCTGATTCAAATATAGAGAAAACAAGAAATACATTAAGAACATTAATGGAGAAACAAGGGAACAGATAGAAACAAACAAGCTAGCAGATAGAGATTTGACGCAGGAAAGGAGAATATTACAACGGGTTTTAAAAAACAACCAACCAACAAGTAATCACACAAAACCTTACATGACAGCTAGGTCAAACACTCATACTTAGAAATGCTAGAAATAAGAGCAAACAGAATAAGAGTGCTCAGAAGACTGTGAAGCATGGGAGTGGCTATAAAGCCAGAATGAGACAGACGAGCCAGAGGTAAAGCAGAAATAGGACTAGGCTGAGAATTGCCTTGTCCATTAGAAACTGCTCCGTGAAGAAATGTGCATAAGCAATCTTAGTTCTGTCATATCCTAATTTTTAGTCCTCCTCATTTTGCATGTTAAATATTGCAAGTGTAATTTTTTGCATGTGTTACGTGTGTACTACTTACACAATACAGCTTATTTGAAGTAGATCAAATTTTGGTTGCTGAAAGAATACTTTCAAATACCTTCAAACCCGGTGCACTGTATAAAAGTCAGAAAAAATATAATCTTACCTTAAACAAACAACGACAAACATATTCATACACTGTATGTTTCAATGAGCCAATAAGCGACTTGATTCTTTCCTCAGTATTACTTGAATCCTAAAAAGAAAATTTGGATTTCAAAAATTCATGTGGAAGTAAAAATCTTTTTACGTACCCTGTAAATTTCAGCAGAATGACACAAATAATCTGGATTCTATGTGACACTTATTAGTTCTCAAAACATGTTATTGAACTCAGCTGCAGTAGATGATAAAATACTGATAAAATGAGAAGTTTGTGCTGAAGCATTAAGAAATTAGTATTTTGGCCTTGAATATTTTGACTGTGAACATTATAAAACATTATCTATAAGGTAAACACATAGAGAATAAGATAGCAGTTTCTTCTCCTAACATCAATATCCTTGAAATCTTATAGTTTTCACTTACTAAAAAAATTGCTTATGTATTGAATTACTATATTTAATGTTATTAAACAGGTATGTTGGTGTTAAGTGTAGTTACTAAACTGCCACCAAATTTGGCCCAACTGTTGTAAACATGGTAGAAAATAGTAAATATACCCTGCCCTTCAAAGCTTACAGACTAAAACACTAATTATAACAGGAGAAAACTGAAAGAAAGATAGGATAATAGAAGAAAGAATAGGCAAAAAAAAAGAAAAAAGTGAGGGAGGTAACAGGTAGTGTGAGATTTATCAGAAATTCCTTTCTACTATGCTGGAATTTGAAGAGTTAAGTTTATAAATGAGGGCAATTTGGATTCACAAGCCAAACTGACTAATAGTTTTCCCATGTCTAAAAGACAGTTTGGGAAAAATGAAGAATTGGATAGAGGAGAATTAAAAAAGGAAGCAAGCAAAGAAGGCAAAACCAGAAGTTGAGCTTTAAATAGGTAACATAATAGGCAGGAAGAAAAGAAATTATGAAAGAGTACAAAAGTAAGAACAAGAAGTTAGAAGCTCGTGTTGTGGCAAAAAAGTAATAGGTAAAGAACTTCAAAGAGGGCAAGTTCACACAGTCAGAACCATGTTCCTGGTAATGACTGGAGTTGAAGGAAAGTGGTAAGCACAGATGCTAGAATAAAGGGAATCCAAAAGCGACATGATGAAAGGCTGGTGAATGACTTTTTAAAGTGGAAACAACAAGAAATAAGATTAATTTTGGAGATGCTGAATAAAGAGAAAATACCTTGTTACTCAGTGTGGGTTTTTAGATCTAAAGAGTGAGATGGCAAGGGATAAATACATAATTCTGTGCTTCAGTAAGAAAGATATACTGGCCATTAGGATACAGAAAGGTAAAAATCACATTTTCAACAAGACAGACTGCATGCTTGCTTACAAACTGTATAAAAGCAGATAAAGCCTTGATCTTCTTTCAGGCAACTTAAAAATGTAGAAATATACATCTTATTCTACACCTTGATGATAAAATTGGTGTTATTTGCAGACTAGATCATTAATTTATTTAAATAAAGCCTTCAGTAAAGTTATAATCAATCCTGGTTTTCCTAATTCACCTTAGACAAAGAGTAAGCCTTGAAGTACAAACAAGAGTTACTTTGTTTTCAGATAGCATAGCAATTTTACAATTTATGTGTAACATAAGATCATTAAAAATTCCATGTGCATGTATTCTGAATATCTAAAGCACAACAGTTCAGCACCACTACTTATTATACATTTCATCATTAGTTATTATGCATTATTTTCTTAAAAAATCCAGAGCAACTAACAAATTCTAAATATCAAAGCAGACTGATCCTTCTGCAGCATTAACAGCTTCAGGAAAAGCACAAATACCTGCTCGCTTTGCAGAGCCCTTTGGAAAAGCCGCAGGAAAGCCGCCAAACTAAACCGGTACATATTATTAATTTTTGACAAGTCAGAGATAATAAAGTACATCTTGCTAGCACTCTCAGCTAAAGGGAGATAGGCGTCCCTCTCCTGTGGATAAAAAAACCACATACATATATAAAAACCAGGATCTTACTGCCATCTACCGGTTATTGCGTAAACATTTATTCATCCCACCAAAAAAACACTTGGATGACTCGCACTGCTTTAGAAAACCGAATCCCTTCTGATTCTTCAAATTGAGGGACACGTACTGAAGACTTCAACACTGTCTTTAAATTTCAAAATTGGAAGAAAGCATTTTTAGCAAATATTATTGAAATTATGAAGAACATTTTGGAAATTAATCCTAGGGCACCGAGGACTCTTTCCACCACAGAACATGTCCCAAAATGCAATAGAAAATTTTAAACTAAACAAATAAAACTAAACTAAATAACACTAAACTAAACTAAACAAAAACTCTGTAATGTGTTACAGAAACAGTATGCCAGATGAATAGCATCACCAATGATCTAAATTTTTGCAATAGGAAGGGATATATTAAGTAAGAACATCCATATGAGCCATACTGTTTGCAAGAGCAGATGGCAAAATTAAAGTCAAAACTCATTACTTGCCAATAAGTCCTTGCGGAAAAATCCTTTAATTGAAACTGGCAGACTTTAAATTGTGTAGCTATTCACCATGAGCAAAATAAAGGAATTTAATTACTGAAAATACTTTCTGTACTTGCATATCCAAAATATCTTTTACTTCAAAAAAGTAATTTAGTATGTTACTGATCTTATACTCCTCTGGATGTATTCATCCTCTCTATATAGAAGATGACTAATTTCAGCAGGAAAAAAACAGCAATAAAAGATTAAAATATTCTTCTACCTTATCAAGGAAACTCTGAAGTCTGTGAGATTCAGCAAGTGATTCTTGGATGAGAGCACTACTTGCTTTAGTTTGATTCAAAGATTCAATCAGATCCTTATTTTCTAGTATATTGCCTTGTGATGTTGCAAGTGTCTGTAAAAAAAAAAGTCATCTATGTTACATCAAAAAAACCCAACTGTAAAGTACCCATTTTGGAAGCTGTTCTTCTTTCTGACCTGTACATGTTTCTGAATCATCGAATGCATCCAGAGCACTAGAAAGCAGGTAGTTACTCCAAAAACTGAGATGTTGTTTTAAAGAAGCATGGAAAATAAAACCCAAGAACAAACTCCAAATATCCACATTGCCAGGTTCTGAAACCTAAGTCATCAGTAAGTTTTTGAGAATGATTTCTATGATCAGAGTCTTACGTGCTAATAACCCCATGGCAAATACAAATCAGGGTATTTTTTCTTCTATGTAACTACTAATTTAACCTGAAATTGGTTACTTATGACTTTCTGTACCTAGTCATTCATAAATTCATTTCTCCTACAAAACCATTCCAATACTCCCTATACAACTTAGTTCTCATTTCCAGTTGAGATGAATACTCACAATTACATCAATTTCAATTTTGTAATCAGAGATCCCTTCAAAACCCTTGAGATCATCCCATATTTCCCCTGAGTTTTCCTGCGCAACCAATTGCATTTCTAATAAGAAGTGGGGACAGCTTCAATGATTCACTATTATTCAAGGTTTTCTGACAATCTTCAATAAATACACTTCAGTACAATTTTTTAGTCACATGACACAACATTGGCTTCTTTGTCAGTTAAGTCAGTTCTGAACAACTACCTGTAGGACACCTTTTCAGGGTATTTGGAGGCAGAGATTCACCAGTTAGAATAGTAGAATGCATTTAGTTCTCTAGCTGAAAAGAGTTTAAGACAAGATCATCTGTTTTTTTCCAAGGACTCCAATTTTGCTATAAGGAATCATAGTGTGAGCTATAAAATAGCCACAGCATGTATGTCTTTACTCCAAGGCTTTCGGACGAAAACCAGTAGATTACTTCAGATGGAATGCTAATGTTGCTTTAGGATTAACTTCAGTTCAGTTAGAACACTTCCAGCACCGCCTTCTTTGCTGACAAAGTCCATGTAGCAGCTGTCAGTTTCCACTGAGCTTTAGGCTTCTTTCTTCAGAGTCAAAGAGTATTCTGATTTCAGTGCTAACAAGAATGCCAAAGTTGAAACCAACCTCGGTGTTAATGCTTGGCCACTTTTTATTGCAGATACCTTAGGCATCAATTACTTGAAATTTTGCACTTGACAATTCAGATTGGGCAGATGTGAAAGATTTTGGAGTTCCAAGATCACACAAGTCTGTTCTAAAAAGTGGCCATTTTTTTTGTTGCATCTCTGAACTCTCAGCTTCTGGCAGACATTAAGATACTAAACAATGATCAACTTTGAATACAGAAATTTTTTAGAGAACAAGTTTCCTTCTACCTGTAAGGCAAATGTGTCCCATCACAGTTTTAAAAAAGGTTTCAGGTTAGTATCTGAGACTTAATAGGGAGTTTAATAGGGACAGTAAATCTGGAAATTCAGATCACATTAAATAATTATGTGCAAAACTCTAAAACTGAGTTATTAATGGCCAGTCAAATAAAGTTTAATTTATATGAACCCATACGGGTGGACTGTTGGGTGGATGAGGAATTGGTTGCATGGTGGCATCCAAAGGGTAGTGGTCAATGACTCAATGTCCAGACGGAAATTGGTGGCAAGCAGTGTCCCTCAGGAGTCCATAGTGGGACCAGTACTCTTTAATATCTTCATCAATGACATATGTCAATGTCCCTGCATTTATGACATTTGGGAAGGAAGGAGGATTTGAGGATCCATTCCTGTGGGCATGAAGTACAGCTTCTGTGAAATCCATGACAAGATGCAAACAAAAAAGAAAATGCTCCTTTCCTTTGAAGATACATTTTCTTATAGAGGTGTACAACTTTCTGAGCATAATTACTTTCATTAAAATAAAAAGGAAAACTGAAAATTTGGAATATTAATTTTAAATATGAGAAAGGAAAATGTTAACTATAAACAATAGTACAGTTCACTGCCAATAACAAACCGTTGTAGAGGTTTAAAGTTTTAAACGTCTCTCTCAACAGGTCTTTTCATTTTCTACTGGGAAATTTTCTTTCAGGCTTTTTTCCTCTCACAACAAAGAATCATTTCTCAACTTGCAAATCACTTGACATGATTCACAAGCTTAAAAATGTGGCTTTTTTTAAAACTCATAATTTGAAAAGGAAGTACTATAATTTTTAACAAAGTTTTCTCCTTTTCAGTGCATTAAAGTTAATGAAATTTCTAACCAAACTAAACCAGTCTGTATCTTGCTGAACAATTCATACATTTAACTTAGACAATGCTTAATGTACTGAAATACTACAGTTTCATACCAGATGTGCATATTTTACCTACTTTACTCTCCCAACAGCGCCAGGAAAATAATGCTTTTATTCTCTCCAGTTAAAAATTCTGAGGGCTCATTATTCCAATACTTTCACCATTTCCATTCAAAAACATACCAATATGAACACTATCTTATTGATCTAACAGATATAAAATAGGTAAATTTATTTTACCTCCAAAAGAGATTCCTCAAGCTTAGCCAGTTGTATCTTCTTATCTTCTTCTTGTTGTAACAGTTTTGTCTTCTGCTCTTCCAAATCAGGCTTTTCGTGCTGAATTGTTAAAGCCAAAAGCTAAAAAGAAAGGAGATTATTCAACATGATAAAAAACACTCTTAATATTTCATAATATATATTCATTATCATATAGCATAATATATACTCATTAATCATACAGCAGTATATAGTCTATTTTTGAAAGTAGACACCTGAGGGTTTACTCAGTTGTACCATACAACCAACAGTTTTAAATCTATGTTTAAAGGACTGGCAGTCTTCATGACAGTATATGCTGTTATCAGACATAAAAAGAAGTAGGTGATAGAAAGCACAAACTGGATGGCAGCAAATTTCTTGCCAGCAAGTCTACCAATAGTCAAATCCCTCTCCTGTCAACAGAGATAAAACAAAAAACAAAGGGGTTTTTTTGCTGTATTTCCACTTAAAAGAGGGGGTCAATTCACTTGGTTACATTGTATGGTGTCAATTCCCTATCTCCAGTGGAGGGAAGAAATCCGTATGGTTATTCATGCTTCACATTTTGAATTATATCGTACTTGTCAACATCTTATTTACATATCATTCTAAGCCTCTTGATAGTTTGGAAAAACTTGTTTCATGCCAAATAAAGATGTTTTTTCATTCCCCTAATTTATCTCTCTTCTTTTTTTTCTCTCTTCCATCTGTACGATACATTGTGCTTTGTAAACATTACAGAAAAAAAACTCAAAAGCTACTAGCATTTTGGAAGAAGTAAAATATACAGCTTTTTGGTTTCATTACATTTTTCCCATACACAAAGTATCTTGATGCTAGCATTACTCTCTAACTAGGACACCAGAGAGCAGTAACAGAAATGTTTCCACTGTACCATAAATGCATCTTGAACAGAAAACAGAAGCTTAGCAATTAATCTGTTGCAACTGAAGTCAATGAGATCGTTTCCATTTTCCCTACTGGACTCACTACTTGGTTCCAAAGTGCATAAAACCAAGACCTCAAAATTCAAATTTCATTTCAGATACAATTTTACCATTTATATTTGTGTGCTAAGAAATATTTCTGTGACCATTAATGCAAACTGCAACACAAGGCTTCTTCCAGAAGGTGAATGTAGCTATGAATGTCTGTTATAAATATATTTATTCTAAATGCCTACCTGTCCTCTTAAGCCACTTCCTGTTGTGGTAAAGTTTACTTCTGTAACAATAGAAGAAGCATCAGGTGGAATGAAGGGATTTGGGTTCCTTGTCGACAGAAAAAGACGAAACTCTTCATTATAATCTATCATTTTTTCACCTATTTGTATAGCGTAACGGGGTCCTGTAAATAATAAGTAGGTATTATATTCACTCTGGAACATTTTAGAATTATCTGAAAAAAATGGTGTCTGTGTAATACTTTATTACCAGTAGATGCAAATGTATTTTATAAAATTTATTTATAAATTCTTTGGAAAGAAAAATAAATTTAAATAAGCTATCCTGCATTGTTAGACAAAAAATGCAGTAACATAGCACTGGTGTAAGAAAGTTGCATAGTGAGAACATTTAATACACCAGGATATTTTAGTTATCCTTACAAAGTACAAAAAGCATAAATGGCAAAAAATGCGCTTGAAGTAAAAGTAATACTAATAAATCTTTGAAATCTTCAAACAATGAATAGGAGACAAAACACCACAGAAGACGCACTGGAGAATCTCCCTTGTGTGTAAAAATTGTGTCATAATTTAAACATATTCATTTACATTTCCACATAGGTATACCACTCTATCAAAACACACTAGCCATAATTATATATTGGCTAACTAAGATGGTTCAGCATTTTCTGAACATGATCCAAAACCATTAGATTTCATCTCTGGATCTGTTACATTCATTTGTAGAAGGATGATGTCGCTATACAATCATAATTATATTAAAATATTGCTTTCTATGATAATTGTTATAGAGGAAGTCTATAGTCTCTTTGTGTTCAGTTTTGGGCCCCTCACTACAAGAAGGACGTTGAGGTGCTTGAGCATGTCTAAAGAAGGGCAACGAAGCTGGTGAGGGGTCTGGAGCACAAGTCTTATGAGGAGCAGCTGAGGGAACTGAGTTGTTCAGTCTGGAGAAGAGGAGGCTGAGGGGAGACCTTATCGCTCTCTACAACTACCTGAAAGGGGGTGGTGGTGAGGTGGGTGTTGGTCTCTTCTCCCAGGTAACTAGTGATAGGACAAGAGGAAATGGCCTCAAGTTGCGCCAGGGGAGGTTTAAGACTAGATACTAGGAAAAATTTCTTTACTGAGAGGGTGATCAAACATTGGAACAGGCTGCCCAGGGAGGTGGTGGAGTCACCATCTCCGGAAGTGTTCAAAAATCATGTGGACGTGGCGCTTTGGGACATGGTTTAGTGGGCATGGGGGTTAACAGTTGGACTTGATGATCTTGAAGGTCTTTTCCAACCTTAATGATTCTGTGATTCTGTGAAACTAAAAATGCTGGAATATCTAGTCATTAGATTGAATGAAAAACATCCCATTAAGAAATATCCCATAAATTTGTCTTATTATGAATATATTTAATTTAATCACAGTATGAAAGAAAGAATTAATTTATTAAATTTCCGTTGTCATGGTTTCAATCTTTGTTTATACTCCTAATACTTTGACATTTCTCAATATGCCTGCCACTGAATGAAACTATATGTATGGCCTCTCACCACTGTCCTTCCACCACAGGTTTCCATTCTAACAGGGTCAGAAAAGAGTAAGCTCAAACAATCACATGACTAGAGTAAGATTTTGCCTCCTGATACTAAAAAAGAAGGAAGAACAGAATCATAAGATGAAAAGTTTCAAAGTGAGAATTTCCTTTCCAGAGACATTTCTGAGGTGGCATAGTTAAGTGCTTCTCTATTTTTAGCACTAGGAGCGGATCAGAACTGGTCTAAGTATAAATCTCTTGCTAAAACACTGGTAGAGATTAAAATCACATACCAATTTTGCTTCTGTGCCAAGGATCAGAATAAATTTTAGGCCTATGCTGTAAAAATGTCAAACAGAAAATGGAAGCTGTACAAAGACAAATTTATTGCAGTATATATATTCACATTTTTATTAATGTTTCATTCCGAGTAATGAAAAGATGTACAGTCATCACAAGCAAAATAATGCAGACAGGCCCCCACCTCCACATTTTGACAAAGAGAAGGAGTGCTTACTTGTGAAGTGACTGAAAAGACTCAAATAATGACCCATTCTCCCTTTTCATAAAACAGTTCCCTAGTTTAGACCTGCACAGACCTAGCATGAACATAGCTCATTAACATGCAAAAGAGGATGCCTGAGTGTTATAAGCAATTTCCCTGAATAAACTAGTATATTTTCATTTAATTTGCTTTCTCCACAGTTCTGCAGACATATTCATCTCTTAATTTGATTCCTTGAGCAAAATCAGTTAAGATGCCTGTAATACTGCATCTCTGCTTTACAAAGTTCAGCAGAAGCTAGTGAAAAAAAAAGGTTGTGAAGATATTCTACCTAACATCCTACAGATCCCTGAAGTCACCATTTTGGTGGTGCTCTCAGCTTTTACCGAGGATAAACATACAAGCACTACTGTAATGGAAGAATGTTTTAAACTAACACTTTCTTTTCACTAAAGAGACCTTTCCAATATAGGAGATAAATGGATCTAAGAACTCCATAGCATTTGCATTTATTTTTACCATGTATTTACATTTAAAGAATTACTGCTACCTCACTCACTATTAGAACTTAGTATTAGATGAAATGACAGCAAAAAGGAGTCTTGAGCTATTTTCAGCGCCCAAAGTTCATACAGTAATTACATGCACAGGCTGTGGTGCATGCTGAGGAATTAACACTTGAGGCAGAAATATAGTCACTAAGGATAACAAAATATACTCTAATTACAACAGTTTAGAAGGTATTTTAAAATTACATTATTGTATTTTTTCAATCCACTCAGTTCTTTTGATACAATTTTAAAATATGCAACATAATTCAACATAATTCATGCTGAGATACTTATATCATTACTATTTATCTTTACTAAACTTTCAACACAATTTTTCATATCAGCCTTTTTAAAGCAACTAAATCCAAAGCAGTTACAGAGTTATATAGAGTACATGAGCTCTCCAAAGTAGAGATGTTATAAAATGTAAATGTTCATTGCATCAGTTAGGGAGACTCCTTTTATCAACTTCCACCATTTTGCTTATCTCTATGCCACACCCCCCCCCCCCATTCCAAAGTCACATCAGGGACGGACTCGTGTGCCTTCTTTAGTTTCTGACAAATGAAAGAGAAACAGCAACACCAACATTCTAAAACTCTGATTTCTAACTGCACAACCTTCTGGTCTATTTAAGGTCCAAGTTCCTAAGTAAAACTATGCGTTTGAAATTGTCACTAGAAATTAACTTAAAATTTAAATTGTGAAGAGTTGATAAAAACACTTCATTCTAAATCCAGTCAAAAAAATCTTTAAATACTTTTCAATATTCTTCCACTTACGAACCAAGAACATATCTCCAAAGTATTTCATGTGCTGAACTGTTATCAGCAGGTTAATATTAAAGAGAAAAAGAACTACACAATACTCATGTTTTCAGAAAAATTGAGTTTTATATGATATATGCAGATCTAACCTACAAAAGCTTTGAGCAAGCATTTGTAAAGATCTTGGTCATTTACCTTGAGCAACAAGATCTTTTCTTAGCAACGGGTAAAGTACAGGCTCCACTCCATCCATTTCCTGTATAATAAGTGTTTTCCCAAATCTCACTGCCAACTCAAGAGCAGTTAGGAAGTTGGTGTCCTGGGCAAATAAAAATAGATTCCTGTGATTCATGGTTTTTTGAAATATTAACACTTCAGAATGAACACGAATGCATTATACCAAGAGTAAATCTAAAAATTTACCAAGAGTATACCAAGAGTAAATCTAAAAATTAGTAGTATAGCTGAAAAATTCTATTACAAGCTTATAATATTTCAGGGTTTAGCCACAAGTGTTTAATTTAAATAAGTTTGATCTATTCAGCTACTGACATACAGACAACTTATTTAACATGCCTAGCTCTCCAAGTGCTGCATCAGAAGACAGCAGGTCTACCGTAGGTCTTATGTCACATCTGTCAGGCACACCTGGAAGCCCTGGCTAGTTAATGCATCTCAAATGTTATTAGGTAGCTATGTCTCAAAACTGAATCAAGACCTAAGGACAGGATTCACATTGATACTAAGGTATCTAAATGCAGTCTTTTGCGTGTAGGTGCCTAAACATGCACATGGTGTTTAGATTCCATTACAGTCAATGGAGATCCTAGACAATGCAGACAACAGAGCCTAAAAGGTAATCAAGCCAATCAGCTAACAGGGGAAGCATTCAATTATCCAAAGATATGTATCTAGTACCATCAGAGAGTATCTAAAAGACCTGCACAGAACTGGCAGTGATCTGTGGAAGACCTACATTCTGTTCAAGCAATACCTTGAGGCCAGGTGGGGTTCAATAAGGAACTCCTGAACAGCACTAGAGGCTTGCCTATGAGTGTGCAACTGAGCCAAGCCTCACGACCCATGTAAACAATTGGGTATGTAGACAATTAATCTTAGGTACCTTAAGCTCAAGCTGAAATCCAACCTACTATTTCCAATGTAGATAACACAACACAAAAACGATAGAGAGGAAGTTTATATATACTCATGAAAACCAGTGAACTGCAACCAAGAATACAAAAGATCTCTCTGTTTACAAATCTTTTACTATCTCCCTCTCAGCAGGCTGATATATATATATACACACACTGATATTCTTGCAGAGAGCAGCATGAAGAGGCAAACTTGTAGAATTAATACCAGATGTTCACCCTGCATTTTTAAATACTCTGATCTCCTCCTTGAGAAAACAAATTTTCAGTAGCATGTAAGAACCACTGTAACCTAGAACTCTGTGAGAAATTATATGCTTCATGGAATATACACCCATTTTTGGTGATTGGCATCATATCCCTTTAAAAATTGCTCTCTTAAGTATGGAATAGAGTGAGCTCAAGCAGAACAGAACTGTAAGACCAAGCATAAATACTGCACCTGTTGGTTAATAACTTCCAAACGTGATTCCTTCAAATGTGTCTTCAACCATTCAGTAGCCCGGAAAGAAGGATCTATCAAAAATGGGCAAACTTTACTCTAGGAGGAAAAAAAAAAAATTACTGAAATCTATTTTGTTTAAGAATAAAATTGAATTGAGTTCTTTTTTATTTCCCCAAATTAATGGTATAGTACTTTAAAAATCTTTTTAACTAACAAACTGTTTAAAGAAACAATAACAGCCTAATAGCAAAATTGCAACAAACAAGAAATTTTATGTCTTTTACTTTATTTCTTCTTTAAAAAAAAACAAAACCAAAACAAACAAAAAAAACCCCAGAAAAACCAAGAGCACCCAAAACCAAAATTCTCAGGTGTTTGTCCTGCTCAAGGTAGGCAGTTCTTCACCTTCTCTTAAAAACAGGAATATCTATTCAGTAAGTATAATCTTCAGCTTTTGTTATTCACAACTGTTTTGAAACTTAGAAGAGGTATTATTTTTCCTTTTTCTTCCTGTAGTGGGCAAAGATACAGTACTTCTGGTTTTGGATCTCAATGCATTTTAGAAAGAATAATGAATGTAAGTATTTTGCAGGCATAAAGCTATAAGTAGCGTTTTACTTATAATCGCAAACATATCCAGATCTCAAACTTGCAAATACTACAATGAAAACATTTTGTTGATATTGCCTAATAATATGTATACTGACAAGACAGCAGGTTTTCATTTTAATAAAACCTTTATTAATGTGTGGTTCCCCTACCAGTACTATGCAAAGCTTTACTATTTTATTATATTATATAAAGTTATGTTACGCTGTACCCATTGCTTTCTAAATACTGAGATTTTAACCATTAATATAACTAATTATATAACTAATTAATATAACTAATTACGTAAGTGCTCAGAACTTACACAATAGTCATGGCACAGAGTGACCACAGAGTACTAGTAACTGGGGCAAGTGAAAAGAGACCTATTCACAGTTGACATGTGCATTTAAGATTTCACAGTCACAGAATGGTTGAGATTGGAAGGGACCTCTGGAGACCGTCTCGTCCAAACCCATATAGCTGATGGCCTAGGACCATGTCCAGATGGCTTTTGAGTATCTCCAGGGATGGAGACTCCACCATTTCCCTGGGCAACCTGTGCCAGTGCTTAGTCATCTTCTGTAGCTGTGTGCTTCTCTCTGCCCCCACTCAAGCAATAACCACCACTGGGGGTCATAATGCTGCATCCAGCTTAAGCTGGACTTTGGGGAGATGGTTGGCAACACAGTAGCCAAGGACTGTCTTGAGAAGTGACCCAGACATCTTGCTGGCATGCAAATATGACCATAAATCAATCATCATCATAAATAGTGGACAGCCCAGAGCCCGTTGAGCTCTCCAGAAATGAAAGAAGGCTGCATGACAGAATCTCCCCTTGAGTAGGGACACTTCTCAAGGTTACTCCTCAAGGTTGAGATTCCTTTCTGCAACAGATTAGGGACTATGATTGGATACAGCCACACCTAGACTCCTGTCTGAGAAGGAGTTTAGAAAGCAAGGGGTTCCTTTCTGAACCTCATGACTCAAAGGGAGGGTCTCCCTGACAACTTTGTCTGACCCTGTCCTCTATGCAGTAAATAATCCAATGTACGTTGCCATCAAATATTGTTAAACCAGTGTTGCACTTACTATCAAACTTTGTTAAATCGCTGTTTTATATTGAATAAATGTATTGTTGCTTCTCTCTTGTGAGTGAAGTACAACACTCTCACAGGAAAAAAGTGTTATTTGATGTTCAGACAGAGCCTCCTCTGTTTCAGTTTGTGCCCACTGCCTCTGGTCCTGTCGCTGGGCACCATGTCCTCTTTGCACCTCCCTTCAAGTATTTATAGACATTGATAAGATCCCCCTGAGCTTTCTCTCCTGCAGTCTGAACAGTCCCAGCTCTCCCAGCCTTTCCTCATAGGAGAGATGCTCCACTGCCTTAATCATCTTTGTGGCCTTTCATTGGACTCTCTCCACTACATCTATGTCTCTCTTGTACCGAAGAGCACACAACCAGACACAGGACTCCACGTATGGCCTCACCAGTGCCAAGGAAAGGGGAAGGATCACCTCCCTTGACCTGCCGCCAATACTTTGCCTAAAGCAGCCCAGGATACCATCAGCCTTCTTTTCAGCAAGGGCCCATTACTGGCTAACATACAACCTGGTGTCCACCAGGACCTCCAGGACCTTTTCTGCAAAGCTGCTTTCCTCAGCACATGTTGGTACATGGGGTTGTTCTTCCCCAGGTCCAGGATTTTGCAATTGCCCTTGTTGAACTTCATGAGGTTCCTGTCAGCCCATTTGTCCAGCCTGTCAAGGATGCCCTGCGCGGCAGCTTGACCCTCTGGTGTATCAGCCACTCCTCTCAGTTTTGTGTCATCAGCAAACTTGCTGAGGTTTTAAACATTTATTTTCAGCAATTCTCTGGTGCAGTCTGATAGAAGAACACTTTCAGCGTTGCAGGTTTTTTTAAATTCCAAGTCCTACTATTCCAAACTGAGTAACTACATAGATAGCAAACAGAGAATCACAGACAATATCCAAGCATCAACAGATGTGATGAGCACAAAAGCTTGAGAACTGTACTGTAGATGACATTGGTAAAATGCCATGTCCAATTCCAGTTTTAGAAGAATGTTGAAAAAAACGGTACATGAAGAAAATTATTTGAGCTGAGGGAGGGCTTGAAAAAGCTCTTCAAATACAGTGAGATTTTTAAGAGCTCAATCTATTCAACTAAGGAAAAAGATGACGTAAGATTTGATTATAGCATATAAGTAGTATTATAAATAATTATAATTATAAATAAT